TATATATATATATATATATATATTATTTTTACTCAATAATAGTTGTTAATGTATAAGTTAATTAAAACTTAGGTATTACGGTGTAAGAGTATAATTGATAAAGAAAAAAATAATGTTGTATTGAATTTTGAGAATGAAAAACTGTAATGACCCGGCTGGTCACCACACACAACACAACATAACAGTGCCACTCAGATAAGAACAAGTATATACATATAACCATCTAGAATATATATACATAAGATCCAAATCTGGGCTACAACACGAAGTACACAAAATACATCCAGCAACGCTACACTAAGTAGCTAAAAACAACAAAAGAATAAAACTCCATCTGCCAACTGCAGACTCACTTCAGCACACCAACCTAACCCTGCTCTGCTCCCATACATAGTATGATCATTTCGGTTGTGGAGGCATTACATAAGATAGGTCGAGACCACTACGCAACCTATGAATAGAAAACAGTTTCCATTTTAGACAATCTGGAGGACATGGTAAGGCTAAATCAGCTTGCTTTTTTAATTGAACCACCTTTTAGTTTTGACTTTTAATTATAATAACTTTTTTTTTTTATTTTCTATAAAACGGAATATGGATTGGCACCCATATATTATGAAGATGCTGTCTACTCAGCTCCATTTCCAGATACCTCGCAGGACACGTTTATCACTATTGTTTTGCTTTAACTTTGTGGAACATCATCTTCCACATCTTTTAGCTAGACAATTTGAGGTGCTTGAGGGGTTGAATCTGGATGACATTAGAAATTCTCTTGAATTGATCACTTTCAAGAGTAATAGGAGTAAAAATGACTCAAACCTTTTAAAGCATTTTGAAAAAGAACTCTTAATATGGAATAGTAGGCTATTTGTTGAGAGGTGTTGCATGTCCAGTCATGGTTCGCCACCTTCTAACCCAAACCAGGGGACTGCTATGGAGCCCAAAAAGACAAGGATGAGGCGCTGGTTAGGTTATGTTTCGCCTGTTAATGAATTGAGAAAAAGGCCTATCAAAGCACCACAAGGCAGCGAAGGGTTGAAGGTATGAACAGCAGGCTATTCATTCCTTTGTTTTTTTTATTTATTTATAATTTAGGCATAACACGCGTGGTGCAACTATGTTGTTTCTTCTGTTTTTCAGCTGCGGCGAAAGTGACGGAAAATATCTCAAATGCAACCTCTACTCCTGCTTTGATGGATTAATATGTGTTAATTTTCAAGTATCTGTTTCTATAATTTAATACTTTTACACATTTGGTATATATGATCATGGTGGAGGGAGAAATTTCATTCTTATCTTGGAAGAGTAAAGTCCAACACATATTAGCTTCTACTTCTTACAATGGGACCCCTGGTGAGGAAGAAATTTAATGTATTATCTTTTTTATATTCCGTTCTTAATGTTGTATGTCTGGTGTACTACTATAGACATTCTGGTTTGGTATCTTACTATTCTGAAAGGATTTTATAGATAAATAATGCATGCCCAATTATTGAGCCATAGAAGTATTTGAATTACAACAGATTAATGACCTTGGTTGAATTACAACAAATTAAATAATGCATGCTGTGTGGGGTTTCTGGTTGTACAATTATTCCAAATGATTTGATTCAAGGAGCTGCAATTTCCTTTAGATCTTCAGTTGAAACAGGTAACATTGTGTTAGTAAACAGAATTCATTAACCATTTATAGTTAGCATTGTCTAGGAGGAAGAATAAGGAAGTGTAGTTTCAGTTTTATTCTGGAGCTGTTTCTCCAACTAATTTCTGCATTAGTTCATTACTTTATAATTTAATCCATTTAACTTGAAAATATAAATAATTGGGTGAAACAGTATATCAATATTTAAAAATTAAATTAAATTAATAACTTATTAATTTTATAATGATGCAACAAATAGCCTACTATTTTACTTATAAAAGACAAAAAAGAGACGAACAATTTTAATCTATTGACATGATGCTGAATTGGATTTAATAGATTAATTTACTGTAAAATAGAAAATTACGTTTGTTATCTTACCTTCTTCGAATAGAAAATTATTTTCTATAAAGTATACTTGTGAAAAATATAACTATTTACATGAGGTTTGATAATTTTCAATCTAATTTTGACGATTAATTTAAAAATTAATTATCTTATATCACACAATCGTATATATGTTTTTACATTAGACGATTGTAAGGAGTAACTTAAGAGATTTGAAATATATCCCTTTTCAAAAGTCAGGATTCGAATCCCTCTTTACTAACAAATTGAATATTCATAATTTTCAATTTTCATGTTAAATTCATATATAAAAAATTATATATATACTTGCTTCAAAATTATCTTGAATTCGTTACCAAAAAAATTTAAATAAACACTAGGAAACTCACAATTTGTTTGTTTAATTTTTTTTAAAAGCGTTTTTTTAAATAAAATAAATATTTTACCCTTTTTGATATGTTTATCTATTCTTTTTTTTTTTAAATAATTTTTTACTTGTTTTTTCAAAAATAACTCCTTAAAGAATTATTATTTTTTATATATAAAAGCAATTGTTTAGAAATATTTCTTTTTTAAATTAAAAAAGAAAAACTCATTATCCCTTATATCATTCTTGTTAATTACAATATAATATGAGTGTTTTTATTTTTCAATAAATTATATAAACATTTTTAATACATGTATTTTATTTTTCTAAATTCACACTGATTCTTTAATTATTTAAAAGAAACATTATATTAACAATTTAGACATCACATTTTATATATATATATATATATATATATATATATATAAAAGGTAATGAAATGATGAGATTATTTTATGAAGGTTATTTTTATAAAATTATTAAACAAGTTTTATTTTTTGTCATTCCAAAAATATCTCTCTAACATTAAAAATATATGTGTGTTTTATAAGTTATTAATTTTTCTCTTATTTTATTAATGTAAAATTTATTTGTATCCTAATATAAAAAGTGTATTTTCCTCCTCACTTTTCCCAAAAGACAAGAGGCTAAAGTTAGGGGCAAAATTAAGAAAGCTCATCTATTAATCCTATTTTATTGTTTCTCTTGTTTGAGTGGCTTTTAATTTAGTGAATTTTGAAGTTAACCATGAGATATTAGAAATGGTCATATTCTTTAATATTTTAATAAATAAGGTCATTAACATTTAACATAGTATTATAATAGACTTTTGAAAAATATAAGCAATCCGTACCCGAAGACCGTTGTGTTGTGAAGAGAAAGAGATACGTTCCGTGGAAGGTTGAATCTGTATGAAGGTTGAACAGAAAGCGAAGCAATCGGAAACCCCAAAACGCGGCGTTTTAAACGATCAAGACAGTAGTAACATGGCCGAAGCATGTACCTCGGAGGATCACAACCATAACCATATTCCCATCGAAATTGTGAGCGACGACGAAATGGCTTTCATTGAAGCTGCACTTGCTTTCGCTTCCACTCGTTCTTTCTCTGCAATTCGTTCTTCTTCTTCTTCTTCTTCTTCGCCACCACACTTTCACTCAAACGCCTTATCCGTCACCCTCGTGTCCAATGCCAAAAGAAGGTTATCAAGTGGCAGCAGTGACATCGAGGACTTACCTGCCCACAAGAAAAAATCCAATCTTTTTGACTCCTTTCTTCGCCGCTTCAGGAAGAAACGGGGTTTGTCCGTCACTGATCTTACAGCTACGGTATAATTTTTCATTTTTTTCTTATTGGGTTGTCGCCATCTGTTCCTATTGCCTTAGATTTTCTGTGAAATTTATTTAGTTTATTTATGTTATTGTGTTGTGATAGGAATGGTGCCCTAAACAAATGGAATTTTCTCTCCTTCTTGGACGGCGAAAGGTCAATCAAGCAATGAGAGCTGGCATTGCTCGCCATGCAAAGCTTGAAGAAGAGGTCATATCTTGTTACCTCATTGATTCAACTTCATACTTCACCCATCTTACATTACATCACATGGTCATCTTTTACTTGTTATTGTTAGTGTGAAGAGTTTAGTTTTGATATATTGTCGGTGTATTTATACTCTACTGATCAAGGGAGGGTCGCCGTAGTACTCTCATTATCGATTTCTGCTGTGTTAAAATAATGTTTGGTTGTCAAAAGTCATATCTCGTGAGCGTATAAAAGTTTTTGATTGTCAATTTTAGGGTTCTTTGTGGGCCATGTCCATGGATCACCAAAACAAAAATACACTATTGATTTGAATTCACCTTAGATATGATTTTAAAGTAATTATTACAAAAGTTAATAATCTCGGCATAGACAATAAAAAACTGTTATACTATCTGTGTATTGTTATTAAATTTAGATTCTAACATAAATCTCCCAATCAATTCAAACCTAACTCAGGTTTTATTTTTTGGCTATAAAAAGAACTCAAAAGTTGAAGCCGGATGACATATTTCTATAGCTATCGGATGTTGTCTGAGGACTTTAAGATGTTGAAATGTTACTATTATTGTGAATAAGCTATCATCTGATGGTATTTCTGTATTTTTTGAGCAATTGATGCATGAGCACCTGCCTATTAGGCACTACCAATGAAAAGCTCAAGATGACTGTTGTTTTAATGTTATCTTTATTTTTTTTATTGGTTGTACCTATTAGGAATTACTATCTTTATATAGCTTCTTGTGTTTTGCATTTCCAGTGTTTAAACCTCAAGTGCTTCTTCAAATAATTTGGCCCAAAGGGGATTGACTCGTGATAGTGTTGATGTGCAGGTTATAAAACGGGTGGAAGTGAAGGTCAAATCACAAGAAGATCGTTGGGCCCTGAAGTTTCTTAATTTTATAAATGGTGTAAATCAATTATTATTTGAAGGATTGACTCGTGAACTGCCAATGTAAGTTAATGAAATTGTATGAATTAATCTGTAGGTTCTCATAGGTTTTGATAAACCAGAAGTAGGTTGCGAATGTGTAGTTCTAATATAACAGCCATAAACTTGTTCTTTTCTGATATAACTTTTTGGATCTTAAAGGGGGGAGAACTTAAATTTGGCAAATGGCATGATAATCAAGCCTAACATACATTTTAGACTGTGTTGGATTGAGCCTGTTGTGTAGTGATTGTTATGACCTACATCCACTGCCTATTTAGAAATGATGGAAGGAGCACTAAATTATGAATTGCTTTGATAACTGATTAGAAATATTACATTTTGAAAGGAAATGGTAATTTTTCATTTTATTTTAATGGATATAGAAAAGAATGCAAAGTCCTCTAGATAGGATATGAATCAAGGTAGTTATCTACTTATCTGCATTCCCTAAAAGAATAGGAAATTTCCCTTGTCTTATCACAATTTTTCTAGGACTTAGGATTTGAAACCTCTTTTGAGTTTTGACTCTCAAAAGTTACATACAGTAGAAAACTTGGTTTAGGTTCCTATTGAAATCTCTTTAAGTTGTTACTACTTATTAAGTTATGCGTTGAATTATGCTCCCTTTTTTTATTTGTTTCTACCTATTAAATTGACAAATCTGCTATTATATTTTATAGTGAATTAAGCTTTTAATGTTACTGGTTACATTTTAGATTTCAGAGAATATAGAATTTATTTGAAATTTACCCAATGTCTTCATTGCTGGGATTTGGAGCAGTTTTGATCATGATGGACTATTCTTACTTCTGATATCAGAATAGGTTTTGCAGAAGATATATGGATGGTGGGAGTGATTGATGAGATTCGGATGCCATTAACTGAAAATCACCATAATCCAATACTAATTGACACAAAGACTCGTGCTCGAGATACACTTCC